ATACCAAGCTGTTTTCAGGACTATTATAGAGCTTGAAGTCAGGGATGGTGATGCCTCTGGAAGTTCCTTTATTGTACAGTGTTGTTTTGGCTATCCTGGGTCTTTTGTTTTTCCATATAAAGTTGATTATTGTTCTTTCAAAGTCTGTGAAGAACTGTGCTGGTATTTCGATGGGGATTGCATTGAATCTTTAGATTGCTTTTGGCAAGATTGCCATTTTTACTGTGTTGATCCTACCAATTCAAGAGCATGGAAGAACTTTCCATTTTCTGATATCTTCTTTAATTTCTTTGTTTACCCACTGCCAGTGAGTCTGGGAAGCAGGGAGAACCCTAAGAGAGATATATGTGGTAACCTGGAGAAGGCTATGAGAAAAGATCTCCTAATTGGATTGGGAGTTGAGGGAGGGGAGGGGGGAGGGAGATGGGAGAAAGAGATGGGGAGAAGAGGAGGGGAGAGGAGGACGTGGGAGAGCAAGAAGATTGAGCCAGGGCAAGAATAGATGAGAGATACCATAATAGAGGGAGCCATTATAAGTTGGAGGAGAGATCTGGCACTAGTGAGATCTTCACAAAAATGACACCAACTGGCATTAAGGCTACCTTAAACGCCCTCCCCTGATAATGAGATTGATGACTACCTTATATGCCATCCTGGAACCCTCATCCAGTGGCTGACAGAAGCAGAGGCAGACACCCACAGCTAAAAACCAAACTGAACTCCTGGAACCCAGTTGCAAAGAGGAGTGATGAGCAAAGGAATCAAGACCAGGCTGGCAAAACCCACAGAGGCAGCTGACGTAAACAAGGGGGAATGCATGGATCCCAGACTGATGACTAAGAGACCAGTATGGGGCTGATCCAGACCCTCATCCCCCCCCCAAACCTGGGTGTCAGAGAAGAGGCTTTGGCAACTTATGGGACCCTGAAGAGTAGATCAGTATTTATTCCTGGCATACAAAAGGACTCTGGGAGCCCATTCCACATGGAGGGATGCTCTCTCAGCCTGGACACATGGGGGAGGACCTAGGCCCTGCCCGGGATTATATGACAGACTCTGAAAATCCCTCATGGAAGGCCTTATTACCCTCCTGGGGGAGTGGAAGGGAGATGGAGTGGGATGGGGGTCTGGGAGGAATGGGGGGGCCGGGGGAGGAGGGGTGGGAAAGGGAACTGAGAGTAATATGCGTAAAAAGTTAAATAATAATAATAATAAAAGACTCAAGAGTTCTTGCTATACAGGCCTTTCACTTGTTTGATTAGCGTTATCCTCAGATATATTATGTTGTTTGGGGCTATTGGAAAGGTGATGTTTCTCTGATTTCTTTCTCAGCCCATTTATTGTCTGTATATAATAGGGTTACTGATTTTTTTAAGTTAATCTTGCCACCTTGCTGAAGGTATTTATCAGCTGTAGGAGTTCCTGTGTAGAGTTTTTTGGGTCACTTATGTAAACTATCATATCATCGGCAAATAGTGAAAGTTTGACCTCTTTCTTTCCAATTTGTATCCCCTTGATCTCCTTTTCTTGTCTTATTGCTCTAGCTAGAACTTCAAGTACAATATTGAAGAGATATGGAGAGAGTGGACAGCCTTGTCTTGTTCCTGATTTTAGAGGAATTGTGTTGAGTTTCTCTCCATTTAGTTTGATGCTGGCTGTTGGTTTACTGTATAGTGCTTTTATTATGTTCAGGTATGTTCCTGTTATCCCTGATCTCTCCAGGACCTTTATCATGAAGGGGTGTTGGATTTTGTCAAAGGCTTTTTCAGCATCAAATGAGATGATCATGTGGTTTTTCTTTTGCAATATGGTGAATTACATTGATAGATTTTTGTATGTTGAACCATCCCTGCATCCCTGGGATGAAGCCTACTTGATCATGGTGGATGATTTTTCTGATGTGTTCTTGAATTTGAATTGCTAATATTTTATTGAAAATTTTTGCATCAATGTTCATGAGAGAGATTGTTCTGTAGTTTTCTTTCTTAGTTGTGTCTTTGTGGGGCTTGGGTACCAGGATCATTGAAACCTCTTAAAAAGAGTTTGGCAACGAACCTCCTGTTTCTATTGTGTGGAACACTTTGAGGAGTATTGGAATTAGTTCTTCTTTAAATTTCTGGTAGAATTCTGCACTGAAGCCATCTGGGACTGGGCTTTTTTTTTTTTTTTGATTGGGAAACTTTTGATGACTGCTTCTATTTCATTAGGAGTTATAGGTCTCGTTAGATTGCTTATCTGCTCTTGATTTAATTTTGGTAATATCTATCCAGAAAATTGTCCATTTCCTTTAAATTTTAGAATTTTGTGGAATATAGGTTTTCAAAGTATGGCCTAAAGATTCTCTGGATGTTCTCAGTGTTGGTTGTAATGTCCCCCTTTTCATTCCTGATTTTTTAATTTGCATGTTCTCTCTGCCTTTTGGTTAGTTTGAATAGAGGTTTGTCTATCTTGGTGATTTTCTTGAAGAATGGACTCTTTGTTACATTCTTTGTATTATTTTCTTTGTTTGGACTTTATTGATTTCAGCCATCAATTTGATTATTTCCTGGCGTCTGCTCCTCCTGGGTGAGTTTGCTTCTTTTTGTTCTAGAGCTTTCAGTTGTGCTATTAATTCTCTAGTGTGACTATTCTCCATTTTCTTCATATGAACACTTAGTGCTATGAGCTTTCCTCTTAGTACTGCTTTCAAAGTGTCTCATAAGTTTGGGTATGTTGTGTCTTCATTTTCATTGAATTTTAGGAAGTCTTTAATTTCTTTCTTTAATTCTTCCTTGACCCAGGAATGGTGCAATTGCATGTTGTCCAATTTCCATGAGTTTTTAGGGTTTCTGCAGTTTGTGTTGGTGCTGAATTCTAACTTTAAAGCATGGTGGTCTGTATCTGTTGAGGTTTGCTATGTTGCCAAGTATGTGGTCAGTTTTAGAGAAGGCTCCATATGGCCCTGAGAAGAAAGTATATTCTTTTGTGTTTGGATGGAATGTCTATAGATGTCTATTAAATCCAACTGGGTCATAACTTTTATTAGTTCCTTTGTTTCTTTGTCAAGTTTCTGTCTGGTGGTCCTTAGACAGATATCTTTAGATTAGTTCCTGTTAGCCTGAGTAGACCTTTATAACCTTAAAAATTATGTCTTAATTATGGAACATATGTTGTTAGTAAATCCCATTTTACATAAACAAGATTTTAATCCAAGTTACATATATGGTATGGTGTATAGATGTTTTAGCTAACAACTCTGTCTGTTACAAAATTTAAATTAACTTTCTTTGTTACAGATTTTTAAATCACACCCAATGAACTTACAAATCCTGAGATAAAGAAAGTTTAAATTTTAGCAAAAGTTTCAAAGATAGCAAATAAAAACAAGAAAAAAGGAGGCAGGAGGAGTAATTCAGAAAATTAAACATCTGCAATTATACTTTGTCATTTGTCACCTCTATTGGAAATAATTTACCTCCTAGCTGTTCTCAAGAACACAGTATCCTTTTCCTGGGATGTTCTGTTTTGCTCTCCTTTTTCCTGTTACAGATTTAGGTGGCTAGCCTGGCACAGAACAGAGGCATTGGAGGAAACTTTTAAATAAACATGCTTGGGTCTAGAGCAACCAAATCCCAACTTCAGGGCCAGCTTATCAGTAGGGTAGAACAACATGTGACAATATTTCAATATCACCCAAACCCCAAAGTCATCCAAATATCTGTAAAGCTGAATCCAGTGCTCAGAGGGAGGCACACCAAAAGAGAGTACAGAAGGCTTAGAGATAAGGGATTTTCTGGAGTGGAGAATGCAGAAAGTTTAGAGATTAAATTAAGTAATTTTCTCCCGTGGTGGCAGAAGTTGTTACAGTCTGTGTGAATCTGGAAGCTGGATGCACCATATTCTGGCCATTGAGACACTTTTCTAGTCTGCGCTAAACATAAGATAGTAAGGGCCTAATGGGATCTCTGAGTCTGGAGGGAAGGAAGGAGATTTGTGGTGTCAGGTAGGGGGAGTGGCAACATCTGGCCTAGAGTGGGTGGAGCCTATGGTTGATGAGATGATGGAGCCGTGAGGAGGGAGTGGCTAAAGAGGAACCCCACCATCAGGGCAAAAAAGCAGAGAGAAAATGGTTAGCAAAAGTCTTTCCTTCCAAGTCCAGATACTGGGAACTGTGACTAATAGATCTGCTAGAAAGAGGAGACCAGTGGCATATACAAATGCAAGGAGATAGGGATTAAGATCATAAGGATCTGTAGAAGGAGGGAATTGTGAGCGGGTGGGGGCGGGGTAGAGTAAGTGCCTCTGGATGGAAACTCAATCCAGAGGTTGTCCTTCAGGGAACTGAAGTTTGTCAAGTGAATTCACAGATTTTATGAGAGGTTGTCTCCAACCAAGTGAAGGGTGCTGAGGAGAGTCTGAGAGAAGGGCGCTTGCCCCAGTCTGTGAGAAGAGATGGGTTGGCATTCAGGAAAAATGATGACTAAGGATCTGGAGTCAAATACAGTGCATGACAGAGGTAAATTATCTATTTTGGTTTGGTTAAAGGAGGAACTGGTTCTCCAAAGGTGGACACAACTGTCTCTACTGGGTTTTGGCACTAAGTGTAAGCAGGCACAACAAGAAACAACCAAACACAGCCAGTTTTGGCAGATAGAAAGAACTGTTTAAGTAAAAGAAGAGTGTCAAGCTGCTTCAGATAGTAGAGGACAGAAGTAGGTGCAGATGTTTGTTGGGTTTTATGTGGGTGGATGGCAGCAGGTGCTGCTCAGATGGACCAGTGAGATGTTAAAATGGGGGCCCGGTCAGACAGATGCGATGCTGACAGGAACATTCAGTCAAACTTTAAGAGCTTTAGGTTTCTGTTTCCCAGCAAACCCCAGCTCAGGGTGAGTTGAGTCATTGCCATCAGCACTGCCGTGTTGGGGACCCAACAGTGCTGCACCTTTATATTTTAACAACTAAAACTGACTGCTTTGGCATCGACTTCAAACTCGTGATGTAACTTTTTTTGTTCTTTACAGATTTATGACATGGGTGTCTGTGTTTGGCCTGATGTTCAACCTCCAGTACCTAAGGACTAATGCCTTCCTATCAGTGGGTCTTCATGGTATTATCAGCATTCCAGCCAATTTACTTGGAATATTTTTATTGAATCACATGGGCCGTAGAATAAGTCAACTGTTTGTTATATCCCTGTTTGGAATTTCTCTTTTGGCCATAGCATTTGTACCTCAAGGTGAGGAAAGAACACTCCTTCCCTCCCCTCTGAACTTTTAGGCCCACATATGAAATTAGAAGAAAACACATTCCAAGGATTTCTTGTGATCAATCTGGGTATTTAGGGTACATTATTCCATTAAGATGCTGATAGAAGAGGCAATAGGCAGTCATATTTGATTCTAGTAGAAGAATGTCTATTATATTCAAGATGCACATAGAAACTGGCACCAATCACTTCCAAGTCCATGCAGGACCTTACCTTATAATCTGTTTGAAAATGACCACATCACACTGTTTCCTCCTCTTTCTGGTTCTGTTTCATTACTTCATCTTCATAACAATTTATTTTCTGAACTCTGTGTAGAGTTAGAACTTATGAACCTCATAACATAGGATCACAAAAACAACCCTCATTTGGAAAGTTACATCAAGCAGATAAACACTACTTACTTGCAGCATATGAAGGTATCAATGGATAAAGCATTAAGACTGTTAGAATTGACTCCACTGAATTAAATGGACTTAAGTAATAACTGGTTCACAGGTAGTCATACTCTTGAATTCAGTAATGCTTTAAGTTTTCTTTTTTGACTCACCTGAAGGCTCAGTACAAAGTTTGAATCTTACATGAAACTGAATTGAGTAGAAAATGACTTTAAGAAACTTTCCATGAGTAGTTTCCAAAGTCTGACATTTTCCTTAGTGCAGTCTTTATTCTTGAGTCTTGAGACACTATTTCAAACCAAGCCAATCTTCAGCCTGCACACCATTGTAAGACTTCTGCATTTTCATGACACTATTCTGCAGTATTGCACATCAACTGTGGACTTAAATTTCCTGAGATTCTGAATGCGTGTATAGTTCTTAGTCATTTCTCCATGATATTCCTACATTCTGCATGAGAAATTGCTGAGACACTGGATAGAAAACTTGAAAGTGAGCTCCTTTTTAACTCACCCAGTTTTCTTTTTTTTCCCATTTTTTTTATTTAAGTTTTTGCGCATGTCACTTTCAGTTCCCAGTTTTCTACTTCTTGAGCAATTATCAGGAGATCTAAGTCATATGAATCCAGTTTTTTGGAAACTTTGATTCTCCATAAACTAATATATGCAGATAGGTCACCTTCTTCAATGTATTAGTCACTAGGGAATTCTGCCTCTGTACACTTTCTCTACACTATATTTTACACATTTACTAATCTCCAATAAGCGTGTTTTCCATTTGGGATTCAGGGAGTACAAATTTCCACAGCTCAGATTTCATGATGGTCTTTGGTCTTCTTCTTTCTAGAAATGCAGATCCTGCGTATAGTTTTGACAACTCTGGGAGGAGGATTTTCTTTTGTCTCTGTTTGCTGTGTTATTGTGCATTCAAATGAGCTACTCCCCACCACAATCAGGTACAAGACTCATGGTTCACTGTCAGGGTCAGAACAAACTTTTCTTAGCTCATTCATTATTAAATATTTTTGACATTTACCTTTAATTATTCAATTATTTTTTTTAGTGTGTGTGCATGTGTGTGTATGATAGGTGGTCATGCAGGTATGTGCTTGCTACCATGTGTCAGCAGAGGTCAGAAGATAACTTTCAGGAGTTGAGTCTCTTTTGGTCTCAGGGATTGAAACTGAGTTATCAGGCTTGATGGCACTTTTACTTTCTGAGTCATTTTGTTGACTTCTTAGCTTATTCACTCTCATTGACTGGATAATTATCCAAAACAATTGATTGTGACATTAACAACAAGTACGCCCAAAGTTTCCTCAAAGTTACCTTTTTGTTTGTTATTGTTAAGTCTACTAGTGCACCACTAGTTAAGTCTAAGATAATATTTGGGACGAAGAAAAGGAAAAAGTCATAAGAAATACCACTTTAATTTATTTTTCTTACTTTTTAAGAATCAGTTTTGAAAAGTTAGCATGAAAAAGAATAGGCTTATTATACATTTTCACATCTACTTTGTTTTGGTTGCTCTGCTACTTTTGTTCCTCAAATCCCCTCTGCTAGTTACCTCTATCCCTCTAATTACCACCCTTCTTTCCATGTCCCATGTATAGCATTAACCTCTTTCTCACTTAAGAGCTTCTCTTTTTCCCTCATTGTTCCCACTCCAGTTTCCTAGCCTCTACCAACATTTCCACCCCATATACACATATACATAAAAACTAAAATCTAGGATTATCAAAGTAGAGAAAACATGTAGTATTTGTGTATGGTTTTGTGATAAATGAATATTTTAATGTTGTGACCTTGAGAAATGGCACTATCAAATGAAATAGATATGTGGAAAAACAAGAGCAAAAATTATCAACATTCTCATGCCCACATACACTGCTGATTTTCATAAGTAATGCAATACTCTAAGTCACAAATTTCTAATATGGAGCTATTTCTGCATTCTGTTTTGTGCTCAAGGGCAACTGCTTTAGGAATCATTGGAATTTCTGGAAGTAGTGGGGCAGCCCTGTCTCCTCTGTTTATGATACTCGTGACATACTTTGACTCCTTACCCTGGATCATCTATGGGGTCTTCCCCATTATTGGTAGCCTTTTTGTCCTTCTTCTTCCTGAGACCAAGAATCAGCCTCTGCCTGACTCCATACAAGATGTGGAAAATGAGTGAGTAAAACCCTGCTCCTTATAGAACTTGTGTGCTAATGGTCTGTGGTGAGGAAGGTGAGACAGCCTTGTCTCCCAAACTACTCTGTGCCAGTCAGGATGATAGCTAGGTAGGTTCTATTTTGGTTAACACATAGACATTGTGTTTGGTATAGAAACCACTTGCATATCCTTTCATACAGTGGTTTCAGTTGAGCCTGGAAAGTCTCCAGATAGTGAAGACCAGCTCTATATATACTGTATTGGGAGATTTAGAGACCTTGTTTGTGTGAAACACATATCCTTGATGATATTTCATAAACATGTTCAAATACAAATGTCATTTCATCCCTCATGCCTAGTAAGTGTTGGTAAGCTGTCTAAAACTGATAGTACCTATATGCTTGAGTGTGCACTGGTCACTGAATAACTTAAAGGAAATTACATATAGGTCTAAAGGACCTGCCACAGATGACATATATCTGAGAGAAGGACTCTTGTTTTTGACATCAGATTCAGATTATCTGTTTCATTTAGGAATGAAAGAGCTCACGACAGAGAAGGGAATGACCAACAAAAGGATCACAGAATGTGAATGTGAAAAATGTGAAAAAATGAGCAAGATTTCAAAACTTTTGGTGCATTTCCATTGCTTTCCCCCACCCAAATCTCCTTGGAGAATACCATGATAACCAAGGCAGAAAGTGTCATAGTTTCCTTCTCTGCTGCTGTGATAAAACAATGACCAAATGCAACTTAAGGAGAAAAAGGTTTATTTTAGTTTATCGGTTAAAGTCAATCAGTGAGGGAAGCCAAGAAGGGAGCTTGAAGAAGAAACTAATCAAGGAATGTTACTTCCTAGTTTGCTTCTTCTGACTTGCTCAGCTACCTTTCATATGGAGCTTAGGCTATCTGTCTAAGGATGGTACCGCCCACAGTGGGCTGGGCCCTCTAATAATAATTATCAATCAGGAAAATCCTCCGAAGATATGCCATAGGCTAATCTGATGAATTAATTCCTCAGCCAAAGTTCTCTCTTCTCAGGTAAGTTAAACTGACAACCAAGATCAGCTATTACACAGAGAGGTTACCAGGGTGGTTAACCTTTAATGTCACAAGATGTACAAATCATTTGGCAGAAATAATGGATGTTTTCAAAGCAATTGAGTGAAGGATGACTTTGCTCTAAAGAGTGCAAGGGATGTCATTTTTCTTTGTGTTCTCTCAGTTTTACTGTTATATTTTTTTGATATTTGCTGTATGTGTTGCAGAGGGAGAATCTCCAGACAAACAAAGCAGAAAGATGCTTTCATCAAAGTGACACAGTTTTAAGAAAGTTCAAGAACTGGAATCTGATCAAGAAACAAGATAAGGAAACTATCATTCAGATTTATGATGATTCAGTATCACTCTGAATATTGCAAACATTTTCAGCAAATACCAATTAGAAAATTTGCATTAAATTTAAAATTGCCATACTCATCTGATACATATCTTAGCCAATAAAAATGAAAGAAAACCATAAGAGTAAAATAAACCTTCAGAGATATTTTTATGATAACAGATACCTGTGAAGTTTCCAGATAGGATGCAGATGAACCTTCCTCCAATTGTTGTGACAAAATGCCTAGGAAAATTAAAGATGCAAGATTTATTGTGGAATTATCATCAATTTCAGTCTATGGCCACTTGGGTCTATTACTTCAAGGTTTGTGTAAGACAGTACATGCTGGGATGCTGGGGGAAAGCTGCTCACTTCATGGTGCCAGGTTGGTAGACATGGAAAGAAAGACATACAGAGAGGGAAAGAGGGAGAGAGAGACAGAGAGAGAGACAGAGACAGAGACACACAGAGAGAGACAGAGAGACACAGAGAGAGATACAGAGACAGAGACAGAGACAGAGACACACAGAGAGAGACAGAGAGATAGAGAGAGAGACAGAGACACACAGAGAGAGACACAGAGAGAGACAGAGACAGAGACAGAGACAGAGACACAGAGAGAGATATAGAGAGACATAGACAGAGAGGGAGAGAGACAGAGAGAGAGAGACAGAGAGAGAGAGAGGAGAGGGAATAGGAGAATGAAGAAAAATAGGAGGAGGAATAAGAGAAGAAGAAAAGAGAAATGGGATAAGGCCAAGAACAAAATGAATAAAGCCGTCAAATGCACGTTCCATTAACACTTCTCTACATTGGTTCCACTTGCAATAATTTCTAATTTCTTTTCAATAATACCAACAGTGGGAACATATCCTTCAACAAATGAAACTTTAAGGGATACTCTAGATCCAAACTAACAAGAAGTCTGACTAAGTTTAAAAACATGGTTTTTCTATAGTTTATAGAAAAAAAATTGGTGGCGTAACAATAACATCATACTTTAAAACCACTGAAAGATATTCAAGTTTGTTTAAAGATTAACAATTATGTGTGAATCTGCCTTCATTCACAAGTGAGAAAGTATATTAGATAAAATAGTATATATGACAATAAGACAATATACAGCAAATTTACAGTCAACATCATACTAATTGGTGATTTAGCTAAACTTTAAGCTTTTGTACTAAAATCAGGGACAAGGCAAGGATATCCACTCCCTCCACTCTTATTCAACACAGTGTTTGAAATCTTAGCTTGAATAATAAAACAAGAGGAGACAAAAGAACAAATAGGAGAGAGGGGCTCAGAGCATTAATAGGTTGTGTGATTATATACATAAAAGACCCTAATGCCTACACCAGAAATCTAAAGCTTATAAAACTCAGAGCATTAATAGGTTGTGTGATTATATACATAAAAGTCCCTAAGGCCTACACCAGAAATTTAAAGCTTATAAAACTCAGAGCATTAATAGGTTGTGTGATTATATACATAAAAGTCCCTAAGGCCTACACCAGAAATCTAAAGCTTATAAAACTCAGAGCATTAATAGGTTGTGTGATTATATACATAAAAGTCCCTAAGGCCTACACCAGAAATCTAAAGCTTATAAAACATTCAGCAAGAAATCAGGAAAACAATCAAATTTACAAATAGCTTTAAAAAATCTAGAGTGAAAGACCTGCACACTAAAAACATTTAAGACATTGAAGAAAGATATTGAAGACACCAGAAGATGACAAAACTTTCCATGCTCATGGATTGGTATGATTGATACTGTGAAATTGGCCACCCTACCAAAAGCAATATACAGATTCAATTCAATCTCCATCAAAATTCCAACACATTTTTCTCATAGGAAGTGAAAAATGATATTAAAATTCAAATGGGAACACAAATTATTTAGGGTAGCCAAAACAATTCTAAACAATAAAAACACCACTGGAGGCAAAATGATTCTTGATTTCAGGTTATAATATGAAGTTATAGTAACAAAACAATATGATACTCTCCATGGCCACAAGCTAGTTCTCCAATTCAGATGTGCTATGCCTCACAGTTTGCAGACATTGTTGGCAGACACACAGATCAATGACATGGAACTTAGGACCCACATATCGGATATCATGAATCTTATAAAAGAGAAAGTAGGGAACATGTTTGAATTCATTGGTGCAAGAAAGGGCTTTCTGAACAGAACCCCATCAGCACAGGCATTAAAATTAACAATTGACAAATGGAACCTCATGAAACTAAAAATCTGTACAGCAGAGTACACCATTATTCAAGTGAAATGTCATCCTACAATGGGAAAAATAATATAATCTTTACCAGTTGTAAAGAGACACTATGACCACGGCAACTCTTATAAAGAAAATGTTTAATTGGGGGCTGGTTTACAGTTCAGAGGTTTAGTCCCTTATCATCATGGCAGGAAGAGTGGTGGCAGGCAGGCAGACATGGTGCTGGAGAGGTAGCTGAGAGTTCTATATTTGGATCCAAAGGCTTCAGGAAGAGAAAAAACAGTGCCTGGAGAAATGGCTCAGAAGTTAAGAGCACTTGTTGCTCTTGCAGAGGACCCAGGCTCAGTTACCAGTACTGGAAACCATTTGTAACTGTAGTTCCAGAGGATCTAATGTCGTATTCTGACACCCAAGGGCAGCATACACATGTGGTACACATATTTGCATGAAGCAAAACACTCATATACATAGATTTAAAATAATGTAAAATAAATAAACCAATTAAAAATGAGTAATGCATTTTAACATCAAACACATAGGCAGAATGATCCAAGAATAAATGCAAATTCTTCTCAAAATGGAGAATTAACAACTTTACACCAAAAATATTTAGGTAGAAGGACTTATAGGACTAGAGACTTGGGAAATAGAAAAGGAAGCACTGGAAGAAGAGAGAAAAACAAAGAATATTATAGCTTTAAATACAGAAAAAAACAACTGTGGCAATATATTGCTTATGATCTAATAAAGCCATTGGAGATCAGTTTGCAAAGCCAGCCACACTAGTTAGCTATAGAAACTAGGCAGTGGTGGCACACACCTTTAATCCCAGGATTCCGGAGATAGGCAGATGGATCTCTTTGAGTTCAAGGCCACCTGACCTACACAAGAATGAAGAGTAACAGATCTCATGCCTTTGATCCTAACACTAGGGATCAGATGTTTTTAATCCCAGCACTAGGGAGGTGGAGACAAGAGTGATAAGACGGGGGAGAGAAAGGAATAAAAGGAGGAGGAGACAGGAACTGAGAGCCTTTTGCCTCTGAGGATTCATGGAGACAGAATTGCCATTTCAGCTGGTAGAGGTTAGATCTACTGACTTGACTGCTTTGCTTCTCTGATCTTCAGCTTGAAGCTTGAGTCCCAAAATCTGACTCTGGGTCTTTTATTTTTCATGTTACAATTGGTGCTCAACATTAAAATGAATTCATGAAAAAGCTACTTAAATTAAAAACAATCTTATTTTACATACCAATCCCAGTTCCCGCTCCCTCCTGTCCTCCCATTCCCCCCACCAACCTCCATCCCACCCCCATCCACTACTCAGGGAGGGTGAGACCTCCATAGGGGAATCATCAAAGTCTGTCACATCATTTGGGGCAGGACCTAGGCCCTCCCCTGTGTATCTAGGCTGAGAGAGTATCCCTCCATAGGGAATGGGCCTCCAAAGTCCATTTGAGCACTAGGGATAAATACTGGTTCCACTGCCAGAGGCCCCATTGACTGCCCAGACCCCTAACTGACACCCACATTCAGGGGCCTGGTCAATCCTATGCAGGTTCCCCAGCTGTCAGACTGGGGTCTGTAAGCTCCTATTTGCTCAGGTCAGCTGTTCTTTTTTATATTTATACATTTTTATTTAAATTAGAAACAATCTTATTTTATATATCAATCTCAGTTCCCTCTTCCTCACATCCTCCCATACCTCCTACTGATCCCCATCCCACCCCTCATCCACTCCCCAGGAAGGGTAAGGCCTTCTGTGGGAGATCATCAAAGTCTGTCACATCATTTAGGACAAGGTCTAGGCACTCCCCCATGTATCTAGGCTGAGAGAGAATCCCTCCATGGAGAATGGGCTCCCGAAGTCCATTTGTGCACTAGGAACAAATACTGGTACACTGCCCGAGGCCCCATAGACTGCCCAGGCCTCCTAACTGTCACCCACGTTCAGGGGGCCTGGTTCAGTCCTATGCTGGTTCCCCAACTATCAAACTGGGGTTCATGAGTTCTCACTTGCTCAGGTCAGCTGTTTCTATGGGTTTCCCCAGCATGGTCTTGACTCCTTTGCTCACTACTCCTCCCTCTTGATTCCAGGAGTTCTGCTCAGTGCTTAGCTGTGAATCTCTGCTTCTGCTTCCATCAGCTACTGGATAAAGGCTCTAGGATGTCATTTAAGGTAGTCATCAATCTCATTATAGGGCAAGGGCATTTAAGGTAGCCAGCCTCTCCACTATTGCTTTGATTCCTACTTGGGGTCATCCTTATGGATCCCTGGAGATTTCCCTAGTGCCAGATTTCTCGTTAAGCCCATAATGGCTCCCTGTATTAAGGTATCTCCTTCTTTGCTCTCCTTCTCTGTTCTTCCCCAATTCAACCTTCTTGATCCCTCATGCTCTCCTCTTCCCTCCCTTCCCCACCATCTTCCTCCTACCTCCCTCTCCTCCCCCTGTGCTCCCAATTTACTCAGGTGACCTTGTCCATTTCCCCTTCTGGGGGTGGAGTTCCATGTATGTCTCCCTTAGGGTCCTCTTTGTTTCCTAACTTCTCTAGGGTTGTGGATTGTAGGCTAGTTATCCTTTGCTCTATGTCTAATATCGACTTATGAGTGAGTGCATACCATTTTTTTTTCTGTGTCTGGGTTACCTCACTCAGGATGGTTTTTTCTAGTTCCATCCATTTGCCTTTGAATTTCAATATGTCTTGTGTGTGTGTGTGTGTGTGTGTGTGTGTGTGTGTGTACTCAATGGTGTATTCAAATGTGTACCACATTTTCTGTATCCATTCTTTGGTTGAGGGGCATCTAGGTTGCTTCCAGGTTCTGTCTGTTACAAACAATGGCCTGGAGTTGAGCAGTGGATATGGGCATAGCCTTTGGGAAGGAAGTCTCCTAATGCAAAGGTCCCCTGGAATAAAGATTGTCCTTTAGTGGCCACATCTTGTCAGGGGATCTCTGGGGCCCTGGACTCAGACAGAGATAGCCAGTACCTCTGTAGGAAGTGGCTGGGAATGGGGGACTAATCCAGAGTTAAAGTTGATCATGTC